TATATAATATTATTATATATAATATAAAATTTTTTAATTTATACTATTCATTTTTAAATTTTAACCAACTTTTTAAACACATACAAATTTTAATTGTTTCTGGATTTAAACTATATCTTTTAGAAGAAATTAAATCTGCACTATTGGAAAATATACGCTCAACAGGAACACTTGTTCCTAATTATATATAATAAAAATTAAATATTATAAATAAAAATAATATATATTAAAATAATTTAATTTTAAAAATATACTTTACCTGGAATTGCTAAAAAATCTCTAGCCATTTTTGATAAATTTGGATAGTCTTTTTCATGAAGCTATATACAATAAATTAATTTTTTTATTTAATTAAATAATTTTATTTAAATAATAAATATATAATATAAATTTTTTATACCTTCCAAAATGTTAATATATCTATATTACAATTAACTAGAGGTTCTTGTAAATATTTTACAAGTTCATCAAGCTCAGTATATTTTCTTTTTTTAACTATATAAGCCATAAGTCCACTAGGTTTATTAGTTATTTGATTATTATTTTGATTTAAAGTTGGCATATATTTAGTTTTCCATAAATTAACAATTTGTTGTTGATATATTTCAATAGTTTCATCTTTAAAATCATGGTCTTTAAAATATTCCAACTTAAAACGTGGATCAATAACTATAAATAATAAATAATTAGTTTTAATTAATTAAAAAATTAAATTAAAAATTACATACCAATAGAAATTATATAAGCAAGTCCATTAGTTGTTGGATAATATTTTTGTAATTTAAGTTTTGCTTTGTTAATAGCATTAATAATATCATTAGAATACGAATCTTCTTTAAGAAATTTTTCAATTAAATCTAATAAATAATTATAAATAGGAATAGTATAGCTAAGTGTGGGATAAGTTGAAGCACTTATTTCAAGAGTAGCATCTTTAAAACACTAAAAAATTAATTAAAATTACTAAATTTAAATAATAATAAATTATAAAATAATATATTAAATAAATAAATTTTTATTTATTTAAATTTAAAATCTAATTATATATATATACCTTTAATAATTTTTTTATTTGTTCAAGTTTTTTCCATTCATTATTTGTTAAAGAATATTTTGTAAGACTTTTATCTATTATTACTAAATCATCTAATGCCTAATAAAAAAAATTAATGTTTTAAAAAAATTATTTAAATAATATAAAATAAATTACTTACTTGTTGTAAATTTAATGCTCTTTCAATCATATCATATGTTGAGTTCCATCTTGTTTTTACATCATTAATTAATTCTAATTTTTTAATTTGTAAAATAAAACATTGTCGACTAAGACGTTCACGTTTTTGTGGAGATTTACGAATTTTAATTACTAATTTTTTTAACTAAAATAAATTTAATAGAATTATAAAAATTTTTATTAATTAAAATTATAGATATATTTAAAATAAATATAGAGAACCAACATAAAATTGGTTTTAATATAAGATTAATTAGTATTTAAAATTAGATACTAATTAGTAATCATAAAAAATACTAATAGATCTTATATTAAAACTAACCTCATATTAGTTTTTTATAATAAATTAAAATAAATTATACTTTTCCAAGAGCTCCCAAAGTAGTAATTTCTTCATTATCATCACTATATTCATCAACTTCATCATTTTCTTCAAAGTTATAATTATATAATGATTTAAGAATTTCTTGAACAGCTAAATTAATTATATGAGCAAGACAATATACATGTTGATTTGCAGAACTAAATTCTAAATCTTCATTAAAATATTTTTCTTCTAAATTAGTAAACATAGAATTCATATTAGAGGCATTATCAGTAGTAATACTCATTATCTAAAAAATAAAAATTAATTAGTTATTAATTAATTTTATTTATAAAAAAATAATAAAAATAAATTACTTTTGTTAAAAGATTATTATCTTTTAATACTTTAAAAAATACTTCAGATAAATTTTTTCCTGTATGAGAACCTTCAAAATGACAAAATTCAATAGTACATTGTTGAAGTTTCCAATCATTTGAAATCCAATGTCCTGTTATTCCAATAAAAGATTTTTGATTTCTAGAAGTCCAAGTATCAATAGTATATGAAATTTTGCCTGGTATTTCTTGTAATTTTTTTTGTAAATTGGCTTGTTCATGATTAAAAGTTTTAATAATTTTGTTAAAAATAGTATCTGCAGAAGGAATATTTGCTATATTATTAAGTCTTTTAATCATAGTTTGAAAAAATTTATTTTCTACAACAATAAAAGATTGATCATCAGAAATAATCCAATTAATTAAATCATTATACCAATTTTCTTGTGTAAATAACTATTTAAATAATTTTAAATTTATTTTATAATAATTAATAAAAAAATAATACATTATAAATTATTAAAATTAATTATTAAAAATTTCAAATATTATATTTACCAATTCTTCTTTTTTAACAAATTTATCCATTGCTCCTGTAATTTTCTCATTTGTAATCATATTTTTATGTTTTTTTTCAAGATGTCTTTTTAAAGCAGATGTTGATTTATCTTTTGGTATTTTATACTTTGAACTAAATTATTATTATTAAATATATACATTATTAAAAACTAAATATATTATATAAAAAATTTAAATATAAATTAATAATTTACCTGCAATAATTACATTTATATTTCTTAATTTTTTTATCTAAAGTAAAATGTTGATGAACAATAGATTTAAAATTTGATTTATCATCTGTATCCATATCTACATTTTCTTCATTTGCTTGACTAATATTAGCTTCATTTTCACTAATATTATCTTCATTAATGGAATTAATTTCATCTCTTTCTTGATTAGAGCTAATATTATCTGAAGTATTATCATCAATAATTTCAGAATAATTATTTTCAACAATATAATTTTCATCAAGAAAAATATTATCTTCTTCAGATTCCATATTTAAATTCTATAAATATAAATTCATTATAAATATAAATTAATATTTTATAATTATTATTTAATAATACTGCTTATTTTATAAACAACTATTTTATAAATATATTAGTTAATAAATAATTAATTTATAAAAAAGTATATTTTATAATAAACTTGTAAATAAATTAATTATAATATTTTATAAAGTATTTATTAATAAACTTAAAATTTGATCAAAATATCTTAGCAATAAATTGATCAAATTTAATAAAAATTGGTTTATTCAAATTCTATATATTAGCAGAATTCTACTAAAAAAATTTTTATTGAATTTGATCAATTGGTTGCCAAGATATCTTTGATCAAAGGTTGAATAAAGTTTTAAAACATAGATTATATAAAAACTGCAACAAAATTTTTGATCGAAGATATCTTGGCAACCAATTGATCAAATTCGATCAAAATTTTTTTATTCAAATTCTATGGATTTATAGAATTTATTAAAAAAAATTTATTGAATTTGATCTACTGGTTGCCAGGATATTTTTGATCAAAGTTTGAGTAAAGTTTTAAAACGTATATCACATAAAAACTGCACCAAAATTTTTTACAAACCTTTGATCAATGATATCTCAGTAACTAATCGATCAAATTTGATGAATTTTTTTTTATCCGAATTCTATTGATTTATAGAATTCAAATAAAAAAAAATTCATCAAATTTGATCGATTAGTTACTGAGATATCTTTGATCAAAGTTTGAGCAAAGTTTTAAAACGTAGCTATAAAAAACTGCTAAAATTGGTTACAAAAATTGATCAATTATATCTCGGCAACTAATTGATAAAATTAGATAAAATTTTTTTTATTCGAATTCTAAAGATTTGTAGAATTGAATAAAAAAATTTTCATCAAATTTGATAGATTGGTTGCCAAGATATTTTTGATTAAAGTTTAAGTAAAGTTTTAAAACATATATTATATAAAAACTGTTAAAATTATTTAGAAAACTTTGATCAAAAATATCTTGGCAACCAAATGATTAAATTTAATGAAAATTTTTTTATTCAAATTCTACATATCCATAGAATCCGAATAAACCAATTTTCATCAAATTTGATCAATTGGTTGTTGAGATATTTTTGATTAAAGTTTAAAATTTTGTAAATAATTATGTTAAAGGATTTATATAACTACGATGCAAATTCTTAGTGTGAATAGCAAAATATGTGTTGTAAATAGCAGTTTCCTAAATAATAACAAGTTTAAATAACAATAATTTAAGAATTTAATACATACTTACTAATAATTTATTTGATTAAAAAGTTTATTTAAATAAATATAGCAAAAATTTGATATCGAGATAAAAACAAAATGGTATTTATATAATATGGATTAAATATGATATTCAGATTTATTAAATAATTATTATTTTAGGTTTATATAAAATAATTAATACGTATGCATAATAAGTTTAACTTTATATATCTTAGAATCTATATCAATATAGCTTAAATCGAATAATTAATTATATTAGTATATATATATATTCATTCAGATCAGTTAGAATGAAAATAAATCCATTCAAGATTAGCTAAAATAAAAAAAATATAGTAATAGAAAAACACTTGAGTATTTTATTATTATTTACAACCTGATTAAATTTTATAGACTGCAGCTCTTATATATAAATATATGATAGTTGTTCGATTGTGTGATTGTACAAAATTGTTTAAAAAAAAAGATTATTTTATTGAATATCGAAGAAAATTACACAATCAAACAACAATTAGTAGTATCTACAAAATATATATTATTTAGCAACCCTATTTTTATACTGATTAGACTTATGATCAGATAATATATGCAGATAATTCCCTTTATATAAAGTAGCTGCGCAATGCAGTTACATTCTGGTATATGATCAACTATACAAAAATCGAATGTATCAGATACTAAGTTAACATGCCATTCTGATGAACAAAAGACCAAACTAAATAAAAAATCTCGGGTCAGGTCGGGTCGGGTTAATGCTCAACCCGAACCCGACCCGAAATTTTCGGGTTAAAAATTTCTAACCCGAACCCGACCCGACCCGAAATTTCGGGTCGGGTTTTCGGGTTGACCCGACCCGTTCGGAGCACTAGTATTCATCATGTGACAAGATTCAAGGTAATGAATTTGTTATTTGGTTCAATTTAATGATTTTTTATTTTTATCCATTATGTGAAATGTTGTCTGCGTTGACTTAATGCTCATGCATCATTTGATTTGTTTTAATGATTCATTTAATTTGCACGTGATCCTTCATGACTATTGTAACAATTAATTTTTCCTGTGTCTTCTCACTTCTAATTCTTTAAGTCGTCACTCATCCATAATTGTATCATCATAGTCATGTTAATCTTACCATACGTATTCTTGTGGCTTAATTCCTGCAAGTGCGTCGACTCTAAAAAAATAGCGTCAACGCTAAATTAATAACGTCAACGCTAAAATTCTACGCAAAAATCATATGATCACGTTCTAAGAAATTAACATGTATATAAATGCTTGTTCTCGCCCTTTGATGGAGAACATTCGCTCTCCAAAATTCCTCTGTAAATAAAGATCATATAAATTCACATTCCTTTTTATTATAAATGCTTAATAAATCATGAATATCCGAATACATAATTTATCACCCAATTCATGTGACCCTTCTAATGTCAACCATCGGAGTTAAACTCGGCATGACAATACCAAGCTCTCCCTTACGATGGTTACACTATTCATAGTTCGATAAATTTTATCACGCTGGCTTAATATTTATGCATTATATAACGGGGGGTTTTTTTTTTACTGAATTATCTGTGATGCTTCATTTTAATCATGTATTGCGTTGAACAAATTGATTTAATCATGCGCTCTTGGTTTTGATTTCTAGTGATTGATTTCAATCTGTAGATGAAGTTTCATATTAAGATTCGAACTCAGTGTAGTATTTTGCAAGTATATCTGCTACTGCTTTCTCTCCAAATGGTTCAAATATATTTGAAATGGTCTTCGATGCTATGCTGACTGTTTCTGAGAATTTTATCATAAAGGCCTACTGCTCTGAGAGATTTGTCTTGTTCAAAAAGAAAATTTGCATGCCTCATTTTTCAGATTCTCGAAGATATTGCTGTCCTGCACTAACCCATTTAAATTAGCTGTATCAGATATGCAACGCAGAGATGATATAGACTAGTGTGCACTTATACTGTCTTTACGGATTGAGGAAATTCTGTTATTCTCAGATAATGTTTCGATAGAATTATGTTGACCTATAGTTTCATTAGAAATAATTTTGGTTTAAAATATTGGGAATTACACTTGCTTCTAGTTAATTGTCAGGATCACTATCCCAACATCTTCGTAAAGTCTGAAGTGTATCTTCTCTGTTCTCTTTGGGAATACAATTGTATAGCTTTACCATTCATAGTCAGACATTTGTCTGACTAGCTGATGTAAGTCAATTGCCAGGTAACTTTTTATACACTCAAAATTACTTTTTGGGAACGTAATGTTTTACTAATAAAGTCACTGCAAAAGCTATTTTTACTTCAAAAGAATGATTATATTCATGTTTATTGGGCCATATTGTAGAGTAAAGGTAACTGGCAACGTTTTCATCTAAAGCTACTTTATGCGTATCTATCTATTCTCTAAATATAAACAATTCATTCTTTTGTGTGTGTTTATTAGTTTGTGAGCTTCTTTATTCGAAGTTTTGTTTTATTTTCTAGTACATGGCATCTTTTGCTAAAATTTCCCAATGAATTACGCCAGAGCTATAAATATTCAACTGTTAGCGCGCTTCTATATTAATAATAAGAAACTGAGTCCCGACATATGCCAGCATTCAACAATCAGTCGAAGTCTTAGATATCTCGTCTATCTGCCTTGATAGACAGAAAAAAAAATTTAGCAATACGTAATCTATCTATCCATTGTCATCTCCATTATTATTCCTTGATGCTTCGTCGAGTGGAATGATGGTAATGAGTAGAAATGTTTCGTTATAGGCTAAGCTTCTTAATAAAATCCTTAATGCTTCTATCATGAATTGTGGTCTAGCTGAATAAGCATGCGAAATTGCTTCGCCTCTTGAAGTGCTGCCCCGTTTTATATATGTATGTCATTGTCATGTGCTCCCTGCTAAATTTGGTTATGTTAGTATTCAATAAATCCCAGAATTAGTAATTCATTAAATTTCTACTTATCGTTATCTTCCTCCTTGCATATACTGGATTCTTGTGTTAGAACAGAATCACCCATTTGATCGTCGGTTGCTAATGTATCACTGCTTAGCTGTCTTTTTGATTACTGTCAAGAACAAGTACCCCAGTGATATATTCGTGATAATCACATCACCTGATTAAGTGTTCGGCTTAGTGATGAGGGCCGATGCCAAATACTTGGGCCGACTATATTATTAAATTATTTTAAGCTGTCCCAAACTAGGGTTGGTTCGGTCTTGCAAAGACCGGTCAAAGACCGGTCTTTTTGATCGGTTCACAGTCTTTCGGTTTTCGGTCTTTTAATCAGTTCAGACCGGTTAATAATAAACTTTATAAATAAACTTTAAACTATCAATCACTATTACGTAAATAAAATCTCCATATATAAATATGTATTTAAAATTATGACATTATATAAATAAAAATCCCTACATTTTATTATATATAAATATGCATTTAGAATTATAGAATTACATAAATAAAAATCCCTACGTTTTATTATATATAAATATGCATTTAGAATTATAGAATTACATAAATAAAAATCTCTATGTTTTATTATATATAAACATGCATTTAGATTTGTAGAATTACATAAATTTTTCAAATTTTATTTAAGCGAATATTGAATTAATTTAGTAAATACAATTTACACTTTTAAAAATTAAATTTTATAACAATAATGAACGTAAGTGAACTTATGACAACTGAAAATGATACCTTTATGAATACATCTAGCCATCAAGAAAACGAATCATCAAGCATACCTAATTCTGCCTTTTCAAGTCTGTCAAGCCATCAAAATAACAAATTATCAAGCACATCTAATTCTGCTAAATCAAATTAGTTATATTCAACAAAATCACAATCACGAAACAAAGGAGGACGTTTAAAGTCATTTGTATGGAAATATTTCAAAACTGATATGGAAGAATATCCTGATCAACCTGTTTGTGATATATGTGGTGTTGAATTTGAATTAACAACTGCAACCACATCTTTAAGACAACATTTAGAGTCTCATAAAATCATAGCACCAAAACAAGTGCAAAAAAAAAAATATATTATAACATTCCTTATTCGGTAAATGAACAGCAAGAACGTGATAATGTGGTTGTAGAGTGGATTATAAGTGATGCGCAATTTTTAGTGCTGTAGAAAACAAGTCATGGCGACGAATGATTGCAAAATTTGATCCTCGTTATAAATTTCACAGTCGACATACAATAAAGGATTTCATTTTATCTTTATATGATAAAAAAAAAGATCAAATAAAATTAGTAATAAACAATATCCCTGGTAAAGTATCATTTACCTCAGATATGTGGACTGCTTCAAATGGCTCAGCATTTCTTAGTTTGACCATTCATTACATTGATTCTTCCTGGAAATTAAAGCATTTTTTGCTTGATATTATTCCAATAACAGTTCGACATACTGGTGTTAATATGAGTAATGCAATAATGAATTCACTTTGTGAGTTTAATTTAACAAATAAAGCCCTTGCCTTGACTACTAACAATGCCTCATCAATGATCGTATGTGGTGCATCTATGGCGGAAGAGCTTGAAGAAGAATTTGACAATCTTAATTTTTTGCACTATAGATGTGCTGCTCATGTTTTGAATTTAGCAGTTTTGCAAAGCATTGAATTAGTTGATAGAACTATTACTAAAATACGATCATTAATGTCATTTATAAAGGTTCACATCCCATAAATAATACTTTAAAAGAATTATGTAATATCAAGAGTATCAATTACTTAAAACCTGAAATTGATATTAAAACCAGGTGGAACTCGACATTTTATATGTTAGAAAAGTGGAAACGTATGGAACCTGCTCTTAACTTGCTTGCTGCTGACCATCAACTTGTTCATCAATGATATCCAAATGCTGATGATCGTTGTAATATTAATGTAGGTAAATAACTTGCTTCGAATATATAATAAATTATTTAGAAATTTATTGTTAGAAAATAATAATAAAAAATAATAATATAATATTAATCTTAATATAAAAGAATATAATGATTCTTCTGAAACCTTTTGAATGCGCAACTCGTTTTTTTTCAGCTTCTAGCTACCCAACTCATGGAGATGTTTGCTTTATTTTTTCAAGTATTCAAGAACATTTAATTAGACATATAAATCAAGGTACCATTTTACAAAAATCTATGGCAAGTGCTATTTACCAAAAATTGGATCGCTATTGGACAATTCTGGATGAAGCTTCACAGATCTCGGCATTCCTTGATCCAAGAATAAAGCTATCAACATTTAAAAATGAATATGAAAAAAATAAAGCAATTTGTTTAGTATTAAACTTAAATGAATACTTTGTAATATTACAACCAACTACACTATCTTGTGCTAATGACTTAATAAACACATGAAATTATTTTCGCCAATTACAGAATGATACCCCAGCATCTTTTTTTCTAATACATTAACGCCTATACAACAAGAAAGTACTGGTAATAGAATATTAGATTCATCTTTAACAAATCATATTGAGAATAAAATAAGAAAATATTTGGCATTTCCCTTAGAGGATCATATCGATCCATTATTGTGGTGGCAAATACAGCAAAAAGAATTTCCAAGATTATGCCTAATTGCCCGGGATTATCTATCTATCCAAGCAACTAGTGTTGCTTCGGAACAGGCATTTTCAGTAGCTGAGCAAACAATTTTACCAATGCGAGCTAGATTGGAGGAGGAAACTGCATGTACAGTTTTATGTTTACAAAGTTAGATTGACCAAAAGAGTTGTTAATATATTAAACATGTATAAATCAATTTGCTAATATACGTACTAAAATTTGTATTTGCTTCAAGATTCAAAATGCAAAATTATCGTTACTTGCTGCTTAAAGTTTAACAGATTAGGTAGTATAAAATTATATTGTTAGAAAATTGTTACTGTATAATTTGCAAATAGTTTTTAAAATTTATCGTTAGTGATTGATAAGGCTGTAACTGATATAATTGATAATCTGCTTTTATTCACGTGAAAATAGTTTAATTTTGAGACCGAGGACTGACCGGACGGGATCGACAGATATATTTGGACCGGTCTTATTAGGGACCGGGACGGACTGGACCGGTCCAAACCAACCCTAATTGGGATGGATAAAACAAAGATTCATAAGAGATGGACCCAAGAGTGTTATTTTATAGCCAATGAAAGGTTCAGAAAAGAATTTTTTAGAATTAATAAAATTTAGTATAGCTGCTTCAAAATTAAATATCTTACATTATATTGTCGTATTTAATTTCTTCAGGCATTGACTCATATTTATTCACTATTGAAATTCCTCTTATTGTTTCGTTTAGCTAAAGTTCTGGAACAAAATATGATGGTATTAGATTATCTGAATGATAGAGATTTAAGATCATACTTAGATATAAAGATCTTAAATTAACATTGAAAGAAAGATATAAAATACTTAAAGATATATTCATAATACATACTGGAGGATTTATACATAAAGATTTCCATTCTGGCAACATTTTCAAAAATGATGAAATCTGCTGGCTTGTTGACGATTTTGGCCTTGCTATAAAACAAATTTTTGATTTGACTGGTGAAATATTAGGAATAATGCCTTATGTAGCTTTTGAAATTTATCTCAAGAAAGCCATTCAGAAAATTTGCTACTAAGGTATGATTGAATACAATGAGTACAAGAACTTTCCGAATAGAGATCATTCGGACAATGTATGCACTTTGCATTTAACCTATTAATTTTTGTTTGTTCATTAAACTATCATTTTTTCCTCTCATTTTCACAAACGCAATCTATACAATATATCTTTTATTTGGAAGTAAGCAGTTTATGGTCTTGAATAAACTGTAATTTCTCTTCAAGAGATGAAGAAATTTTCAAGTTAATGAATTTTCACCTAGTATATTATATATGAATTCTAGGCGAATGTCGTCCAAATTATTTAATATTGGATTATTACTTAAAAATAAAATAAAATCATGTTTATTAGTTCTAATAACTCATTATCGCAAATAACATATTAAAATTTATTTCAATTATATGTACATAAATATCATAAAGTTCTAATAAGAAAATGTCACTTTGCTAGCTTTTTTTGTTAAAGAAACAACTTGGACCAAAAATTATGAAAATGACGGAGTGGTGGCTTCCTCAGTTAATTTTAATTATATTGACTATCTGTAAAATTTATATAATATAGAATAACGACGTATATAATATTAAAATTAGTCTTTAAAGTTTTACTTAAACATTAAGAAACATCTTTTGCTAACAACACTAAAGATAATAAATCAAGCTAAAGTTTTAAGCTACTTTGGTTTAAATTATAATTTAAAGCTTTAGCTTAAATTAGTGGCTAAAGCCGGCTTCAAGTAAAGCTAAATACATAGGGTTATATATGATATTTTAAATTTTAGTTAGAATTGGTTTTTTGGGGTTTCGAACAATTTTGTTTTGTACCTCAGCATGAATTTGTTAGTAGATTTTTTAGATTTAGCACTCGGTGATAATCACCACCGGTTAAAGTTAGTAATATTCAAAAAAAAAGAAAAAATTTATTAACTAGTAACTTGATTTGTTTGGAGATCATAGTATTAATTGATACTTTATTGTCTTTTTTATTAAGCCATGTATATGATTAAGTTAATTATTTTTTAAAAAATTAATTTAATAATTCAACATCAATTTGACAATCACTATTATTTTTATGCCAATAAGTCATTGCACTAATTAGTCCATAATAATTACAAAGACATCCCAAAACAACAAACGTATGAAATATTTGATGTGAAGACCCCTGTTGCAAGTGAAAGATTAAATATATTTGTACAATTATATATTAGTAACAACAATTTAAAATGCTGTAGGATAAAATAATAAATCGAACTCACCAATATATCAAATGATCCAGGAAAAAGCTTTTCAGGCACTCTTAATACAAAAAAAAATCAAAAATCACACATATAGAATTAGTATATTAATTAAACATAGTAAATAATCATAGTAAATAATCATAGTAAATAATGACTATAAATAAAATAACACGCTAAAATAAATACCTTGTGCCATAAATAATTGCTCCCACGAAATAAGTAAGAAGAGTTGTTAGCATCCATTTGAAAGCAATAATATTATAACAAATATTTAGCTACAACATATAGTAATTTTATTAGTAATAATAATGATAAACGATAATAAAGATAATAATAGGATTTAAATGTACCCCATAAAGTATAACTGCATGGATGATTGGAATGAATACGCTGCCACCTTTGAAAAAAAAAAATTGAGAAAGAAATGAGGATTTAAGTATATTTCAAATAAAATAAAATAAAATAAAATTAATCAAAATTAATTAAAATAAAATAAAATTAAATAAAATAGAATATAAAATAAAATAAAAAAAAGCACGAATAGATTACGCTTAATAATTATGAAGTACAGTACGAACCTAACGCGAGAAATAATATAGTACGAAACCATCGAAATTCGGGTGATCGGAATCGGATAGGAATGGCTACAGAAATCTAAGATTAAAATAATGTATTTTTGGCATAAGCATAGAGTAACTATTGTATAAAAGATATTCATGTAATTTCAATTTACAGACCGTTGCACTTCCAAGGATGCTAACTAATGCGATGTAAATTATTCTTAACGTTCTATCACAGTAAAAGGCTGAAAATAAAACAAAAGTATGAATTAATTATATTGATTAGAAAAAAAAATGTTACAGAATTAATTACCATAGTATGCTATTGGAATCATTGAACCACTATTAAAATAAATTCAAACCAGATTAATTATTAAGAAGATTAAATAATAAAATACAAGTAATAATAATTACACGCTTAAAAATACTATTCCACAATAATCGCATCTATTCCAGTTCGCGCAAGCCTTTAAAATTAATTATAGTTTATTGGTATTATAAGGGTACTATATCAAAATTATAGTATTTATTATATAAATGTTTTTAGCTGTTGAATATATAATTACCATTTCGGAATGACACATAAAAGAATGAAATAATGTAGAGAAGATTAGGCACATTAATACACCCACTAAAAAACTGTATTGAACGACAAAATCCCAAATAGTTATTGTAGGGATGGCCGACAAAGTGAAGTAAGTTGTAATCGAGAGTATTATAAACATAAGAGCGCCAATAAGATGAGACCAGATATTAACTTTTAAAAATAAATCTTGGTTAACAAATTATTATTAAAAAAATTAATAAATAATTAATGTATATATGCACCGCTTTCGTTATGAATATAAAATAAAGATTGTAAGCATTTTATATATGAATAAGTTGGTCTCCTATAGCCTATAAAAATAAAAAACTAGATTAAAATTTTATTTCACCAAATATCATAAGAATTTTGTGCGATGAATTTTTGATATTTATACATGTAAGAATATCAACATTATCTTGCAACCAATGAGGAAGTTCGTCAAAGTTACAAGTTAGAGGATTATCTATCATATTAGAATTAGTATTTTTATGATCAATATCATTTCTTAGAAATGTTTTTTTCTCATTGATTAAATTTGACGAAAATTTTCGTTGAAAAAGTGGCATTGGAAAATGTTAATTGGTTTGATCAAATTAAATGCTAAGAGTTATTAAATGTTCATAATTAATAAATATAATTGTAAATTTGAATAATCTGTCATACGTTGCTTTTGATAATCGTGTCTATAATTAAAATTTAATATTGCAAATTATGTAAGAGAACATTCTAATTTTTAATAGGATGTAATTATTGTTTAGGGTTTATATGCGGTTCACCCGCAGTATTGACAACCATTTTTTGCGCTCATATCTAAGTGTATTATTGTACTGTATGTAAAGAGCTTATGGTGCTGTGGCAATTGAAAAAACGTAACGTGAAAATTTTTAGTATGTGTATATGTACTTACAATATTTGCCTATACTTAAACATTAAAAATATTTTGCAATATAGCTTTCAATAAATGGTATGCATGGTTAACATGGCTTTTGATAAGTTACGGTAAGTGCTAGTATTGTTATTTTTTCGCACTATGAGTATATTTCTTTCTGTCTTTTGGGTTTTTTTTTCACCATGTAACACATCCATTCTGCAGACTCTCGCATTTTGTTTATTTTTATTTATTCTTTACGCAGTTACACAACCGATAAGAAATTTATGTAAAACATTTCGGAAGTGTAACTCCAAATATACCAAAAATAGTTAGGGTCATTTGATGATCATTATGGTTTGATTTTTTGAGCGTATGAATTTTATGAATTCGCACTACTTTAGGTACATTTTTTTTTTACACAACTAACATACAAAACCGTATCGTATTTTTTTTTTCAAACTTCAAATTTTTGGTTTAATTTATTAAAAGGTAACGGAAGTTATTGTAAAACCGGCTCCATTAAAGTTTAGAGTTACTCTAGGTAGGACTACAGTTTAAATAAATAAATAAATATATGTATATATATTGTAGGTTAGTTGTTATTAATTGTAGGATTTACTGTAGATCACGATGAGATAATCACCAATTTTAGTTAGTTGCGTAAAAAAAAGTAGTGCGAATTCATATATAAATTTATACGTGAATCAATCTTCAAAAAATCCACATATATGTAAAAAAAAATTGTGTGACTGAGGATGATTACTTGAAAGATGCTTAAAGATGTATGTGCGGTCGTAAGATTAAACGAAGTCTGAAAGATAAGTATTCTAGTGAAGTTAATTTCAAGCATTTCTAATAATTCTCGTTTTATACACTCGGTTGTGAATTTAATTACTTGACTTTTGAGCCATGGCCTTGACTTTTAGGTCCATGGTACTGTATCAATATGCACTCCAATAATCCGATTGTAATACGTAACAAAACTAGCTGTTTTGAAACTTAATGAATACAAAAAAATTCTATTATTAGAATTTATAATCCCAAGTGCCAAGTGCTTTTGTTCATACACAATTGTTATTTATCTCTTAAATGACGAAGTATATTTATGTTATTAATGTAGTACTGTGTTTTGAAATATTCGTATTACACAAACAAAACTAATGATAGTCTAGAGTTAGCGTTGACCTATATTTGCTCCATTGGTCCTTCTCTGCGCTCTGGATAATAGCATCCAAGTGTAATATCTCTTTCGCTATTTACTTAAAATAAATTGATGGTTTTGTAAAAAAATCGCGTTAGTTTAGTTTAACGAGGACTAGGAATTATTTCAACCAAGGTTATCATATAACAATTTATCTTAAGATTTATTTTTTGTAAACTCCGATTATGTTTCATAAACAAAACAATTTCTAAAATCTCTAAATTAAAGATTATCATCGTTAAACGAATTTTTTCTTGATAGTAACCTAATTTTTGTATACTTTTATGTCACGTTATTGATTTTCTATTTTTAACTCTGGGAATTTTTTTGTTAAAAAAACCATTATATAAAACTGCAGGGGTAAATCCAATCTATATATTTTCGCATCCCGTTTTATTAATATCTGGTGTTAAAATATTAAAAACTTTCTTTAAACATAATAAACAGGTTTAAATTATGGAACTTCAAGTGGAAATAGATATTATTACTCCTGAAAGCGATACCAATGTAAATTCCGGAACGATAAATGCTAATACTGCTAGCTCAGTTAGCATCATTAAACCTTCACACTCTGAATCGGGTCGATCTAACAGTTCTAACACCGTCATTTCTGAAGTTTATGGTTTAAGCATAAAGTATCTTAAGAATTCTTTTTTTAAAAAAAAAAATCTGTTTAAATATTCAGCGTAGTTTATTAATTGAGCATTTTTAAACTATTAGAAAGTGAGTATGAATTATTTGTCATTATGTGCTTATATTTATTAAATATCCATTTCTGACAAATTGCATATTGTAATTAGGAGGCAAATACATTACTTGGCTATCATTTAGCTTCATATTACACATATATACTTCATAATGTCTACTCGTTACTAAAAAAATATTCTCGACCTAACTTTTTTAGATTGTAAGTATCTATTGTGATTTACTATTTAAAGAACTTTGAATTATATCATAGTTTATAATTAATTTCTCTAATAAGTACTATTTATTAATATTAATTCCTCTAATTAATACTGTATTAGGCGGTAATATAAATTGTATAATGTCATATAGATTTCGTCTATATATTTCTTAATAATCATATAATAATGTATATTCATTTAAAATACAAGTTCGTGAGTATTATTAAAAGGTTCTGACATTCTATACTTGTAAATTAATTTGTAGTTCCATTATTAATTAATTCTTTATAATAGGCGGTGAGAAAAGTGTTATCGTATTGTTCATGTCATCAAACGATACTTATTTAACAAATCATTTAAATCACCAGTCCGTAAGTATAAGATAACAATTTCTATTATCATTATTGAACATATTTTTCTAATAAGTCATTTATATTAACAGGGAGTGAGTAATGTTCATTATTTTTCTCTAAACATTGTCATCAAATAAATTTCTAATAAATCAATTGTATATCATTTAAATTATCAGTATGTGAGTACAAACATTGTAATACCAGTTTCTATGCCGCTTCTTTACCATTAATATCGCTTTAATGCTTTTCTAATCATTAAATTTTAGGCGGTATGAAAATATTTCTTTATCTATTTTCAACAGCAAATAAAGCATAGAATCATAAAATGTCACCATTCAACTAAATCTTTCCAAATAGTTTGTAAGTAAAATTTTATTTATGCGCGTATTAAGATTTATTAACTAATTATTCTCTGATCAATCGCATTATTTTTAAACTACTAGTCTGTAAGTATAATATAACTTATACTGTAATCAAATGATTAACTTTAAGAATGTTCATTAAAATAAATAAATATTTTACTTCATTAAATTTTTTAGAAAGTAAGATTCTTTAGTCTAATAAAATCAAAATTCAAGCTTGCATAAATAATTTTCTCTAAACGATTACATACATATTTAAATTACAGATTGTGAGCAAAGCTTTTTGTATAGTATTTATCACAAAATCTAAAAAAATTTCTTATTAACATTTGCATTAAACCATTAGTTTGTGAGTATGATTTCATTGATGAAACAAGATAAACATTTATTAATAAATACATATTTAAATTTCTAGGGAGTAAGTAAAAATATTGTTAATTAATTAGTAACTATTATATAATTAATCTAATGTTATTATTATCTTTATAGGCGGTGAGTGCAAAGCCTTATAATATTATAAAGTTAATGATCAATACTTTTTCTAATTGATTGCGCCTCTTTAAACTTTTAGCATGTTAGTATATATTTATTGTGGCATTTATAAGCTTTAATCTTTGTTATTTACATTAATTCTTTTTTTGTAAATTTTTAGGTCGTAAGCAAGAGATTTAATTATTTCAAATTTCCAATTTATTATCAATTAATTCTTTATTAATTAATTTATTTATTCCTAGATCGTGAGTATATTATTGTTTTTGTTATCGAGATAATCATCAAAAAATTATTTCATAATTAATCGATTACATATTCATTAAATTAACAGCAAGTGAGTATAGAATTTGACTATATGATTAAATTAACCATTAAATAACACACAGTATTTTTTTAATTTAATAGGGCGTGAGTATGGAACTTTACAAATATTCTGTAAATAGCTTCATCAAATAATGCTTCAACCAATAATTTCTTAGGCGGTTTGTACAAGATTTATTGTAATTAAATTTCATCAATATTTCATCACTAATCAGTGTAATGTTTATTTAATTTAAAAGATTGTAAGTACAAAATTTCATTATTTACAGTAAATAATATTCTTGAATTAATTTTTTATTATTAAATTGCTAGCAAGCAAGTATTGAAGTTTGTCATATATCTTTAAAATTAATAAGATCGTTTCTTAACTATTATGTTCGAATTAATCTTTAGGGAGTATGTTAAAGTTTATTTAATCTATTTATAAAATTAAAATTGTTTTTTAATAACTAATCCCGTGCTTTAAATTACTAGTTTGTGAGTATAAATTATTATATTCATTGCAAAATAATAACGGTTTATTAACTCTAGCCTATTTTAATTTCCAGGGAGTGAGTATAATATCTTATTATATCATATTCTTTTACAAAGTAACTAAATATCTATAATTAAACGTATTTCTCAAACTTAGATTGTAAGATAAAATTTTATAACATAAGCTTATGAAAAAGTTTTCACTACGTAAAACGCATTTCTAATTAACCACGCTCATCTAATTTATTAGCGTGTAAGTATAATGTTTTATTTATAAAGTTATACAAGTAAAGTAATTTCTAATTAATATATCCATTTAATTTATTAGTTTGTAAGTATAAAGATTTAATTGACGAAATTTTGTAATTGGATAGTACGCTCTTTTATTGATTCATTTTTTTAAATACTTGATAGATTGTAAGTATATTGCGACCATTTGTAAAACGAATGTTTATATTGAGTAATGTTTCCCTAATCGATTTCATAAATAATTAATTATCAGCTTGTATGTTAACAATTTATTTATAATCAAAATACGTTGTATTATTTTTAAACTATTATTTTTAAAATTAATATAATTATTAACTAAATTATTAGATTGTAAGTAAATTGAGATCGAAAATAATACAATATTTGTCAGATAATTTTTCTAATAAATCACATAACACCAAATGCTTAGGCGGTAAATGTCAAATAGATATGACTTATTTTTATGAAATTGTAGCTTTATCTTTACTCATCAATTTATGTGCTCCTAAATTATAGCTCGTAAGCATAAATTTTATCTGTTATTATATTTAACTCGTAATCAAGATTTAAAAAATAAAAACCTTTAAACAATCTTACTTTTAATAAACATTTAGAAAGTAAGTAGATAATATAATAATAAATTATAATATTAATTACATTCATTATATTCTCTGACTAATTTTATATTTGCTACAATTTTTAGGCGGTAAATACAGCTTTATTATGTAATTAAGAAATTTAAATAAAATTTCTCATCAACTTGTATCTTCACTCAAATTAATAGAAGGTAGGTAGTTGAATCCAAGATCTGTTATAAATCAATATTCTTTAATAACGATATATTATTTTTATCATTATTAGCATGTAAGTATATGATATAGTAAATTTATATCTCGTTAAATAATTAATGCTTATAAATTTAAATTATTAGAACGTGAGTATATGTTATCTATCCCATCCATCATTAAATATACTTTTCTAATCAATTATATTCTATTCAGCTTGTAAGTATTGAGTTTTAACGTTAATGTTTAAGATGAAAATTTATAATTACTTTCTTTTCTAATCAATTGTGCATATATAAATTAAGGGTGTGAGTATACAGTAAAGCTTATTATATTCGTTAATATGGCAATGCATATTTGATAAATACTTTTTTCCTTATTAAAATAAATCAGCTTGTGAGTATAAAGTATGCAAGTGGTAATATTGATACCATTTTTTCTAACAATTAAGCATAACTTTTAGACGGCAAGTATAAAATTTTATCAGATCATTGGTTAAGCATTATAAACTAATCTTCTTTTCATTTAAATACAGAGAGTGAGTGTTATTTTCATTAATAAAATAAGCATAGCCCATAAATATAAATTAATCCATAAATTGCACATTAAATTTAGATGGTGTGTATGAATCTCTGCCATGTTATTTAAAATCAATATGTTATTAAATAATATTTCTTCAATTACATTACCAGGGAGTAAGTACGAACTTCACATACAGTAATCGTTTATCTCTAAGATCAAAATTGTAAAATATTTTTTAATAAACAGCAAGTAGGTGTATTTTGTACTAATTCATTTATCATCAAATAATATTTACTAACAAAGTTATATGCATTTATATAATATCAGAACGTAAGTATAGAGTTCTATAATGTGCTTGAAACTTTTAAATAACAAATAATACATAAATGAAAATTCAATTTTTTTAGAGAGTAAGTATAAATTTATGTATAGTAGATAATATTAGAAAGCTTCATCAAATAATTAATAAATTTTTAATTTTTAGCTTGTAAGTACCATATGCTTTTATAGCTTAAAAAGCGATATAAGTCATAACTCTAATACATTTCAATATTCAGCTAGTGAGTACAAAATTTTTATAATAATTATAATTCATTATAGAGATAGTTTCCTAATCAATTATGTGTTTAATTAATAGTTTGTAAGTTAAGCTTTGATATAAATCGAATTGTTATTAAGGAATGCTTTTTTAACTGTATTTGGATTTAAATTCTCAGAAAGTAAGTGTTATTAAATTCTATTTTATCTACTCTATATATAAAATAAACGTGCATTACTTATTAAATAATTATCTTATGATCAATTTTAATTTATGTGAATTTTTAGACCGTGAGTGGAAATTTTTTGTAAAAAAGAAAAAAAGATTTTTATAAAAAAATACTTACATGTTATTTAAATCTTTAGAGAGTAAGTTAATATTATTATAATTAGATTTATAAAATTGGCAATAATGTCCTTTTAACAATTACGTATTTCTAATTTTAGAGCGTAAGGCTTTATCATTTATTTCATAAACTACAAGAATAATTTCTAATTAATTTGAATTTTTAGATTGTAAGTACAAATTTTTTCGTTTCAAATGTTTGTTATTAATAATATAAATCTAATGAAGTCGCGCATAATAAATTTAATTAAAACAGCAGGTGGATATGTTTTTAATTATCGGAACTGGAGATAGATCAGTCCGGTCCAGTCTCGGTACTTAATAAAACCGGACCATTAATGTTTTTCAGTTCAGTTTTAGCCAATCAAGCGGCCTTTAAATATTTAAGCTCTATTGACATTTGTAATCGAAATAAGTTAAAAGTTAATTATTTGTGAAAACCATCCAGACAGTTCTTAAGAACGATCCTTATTCAGTCTTTTCAGAACTGATCTATCTCCAATTGGAACTTTATTATGATGCAATTTTTAATCAATTAAATATACATTTAAATTTTCAGGATGTGAGTATAATGACGAATTTTACGATTAATGTTTATTTTAAAGATGCTAAATTAATCACATGTTATTAAATAATTAGGCTGTGAGTGTAAATTAAACATATTTTTGAGTTAAATTTTTATCAAATGCATTATTAAAATTATATATTTAACCTGTAGTGAGTGAGTATAAATTTTATTTTATAAAAAGTTAACATAAAATGTAGCAGACGGTCTTTTGTAACATTAACTCAATGAGCTGTTCATTAAGATTTCGCCTAGTTGTAATACATCGGGAGAAATTTTTTAGTGCTGTTCTGCGCAGATTTGCAAAAAAATTAATAATAAATTAAATGAAAATCTGTGCAAAACTTCAGACTCACCAGCTATAGCTACAGAAGCTAAATACAGTTCTGCGCAAAATTTCAATATATAAAAAATTTTGCAGTTTTTTGCAAAAAATTCTGCAAAAATCTGCATTTTCGCAGGTTTTTGCAGATTTGCACTTATTTAATTCTCCCGATGTATATTTGTTTTAAAAAATCCTTACGACATTTATTATAATCTTTGATATAAAGCCAAATGAGCTTCGTTAATTTTTAAAGCATTTTTCACTATCCTTATAAACTCAGATGCAGATACTATTCATTTAAACCTTGAGATATGCCGAAAGCTTTCTTTATTATTATTCATTTTAAAAGTTCAAAATCAGATTTAGTAGTAAATAGGTTAATTTCGAAATAAATTTATTTGACTGGTTTTTAAGAATTTCTTTTAACCTTTCTAAATTTAGGATTGTCTGCTATGTTTATATTGCCAATATCACTTTATGAAATAGTGTTAAATACTTTCTAATGAGTTATGAATATTCATTAATATAGGAAGTAAGTGTAATCGTTTTTAAAAATCAGCCACCGACCATTTTTTAAACAATTTATACGTAAAACTTTTTAGGAGGTAAGTTTACCAAGTTCATTAAAAAAAGACAGTCGAAATTTGTATTTTTATTAATTACATGATTATTTAAACAATTAGTTTGTAAGAATATATAAGATTTATTTTCGAAATTTTCGTATTATCAATAAATCATTACTTCATTAATAAATACGCAATTTAATTTTTAGCGAGTAAGTATAAAGCTTGCCACTTATATTTATGAAGTTGTCAATAATTTTTTATTAATTAACTATACATACATTTAATTACCAGTCCGTACGTATATTACATCGTTA